GTGAAGTTGGTCTGGTTTGCTTGCCTACTTTGGATCAATCACAGCAAATTCTCCCCCTGCCGCTCAGCCTGGTCTGCTTGTGTCTGGAAACCTAGTCAAATATGAATCTTTGTAAGAGATAATTAAGAAAGGGAAATCTGAGACTCTCACATAGTTATAACCAGGGCAAAATGAAGGAGTAGGGTCTTAATTAGCAGAAGAAACCATTCATGAAAACGAATATTGCAATGTAGGTCTCAGGCAAATTTTGAGTGACAGACCTGGAAAATATTTCTAGGATAGAGTAATTACCTTTCTAGTTTTCTCTGGCCTGGCATGCCCTCCTTTTTTACTATGGGGGTGTGGGTTTGGCTTAGTGGTTCCTTAACTCTGATCCTGCCTCCCAAATGTCTTGGTGTTGCTAAGACCTAATCTTTTTCTGAACTTGGGAACACCTTTGGAATTTTGCAGGAGCACTGTGGAGCAGGGGTCAGCAAACTTCGACTGCAGGGCCAACTCCAGCCCACCACCTGTTTTTGTAAATAAAGTTTTATTGGAACACAGCCATGTGCTGCCCTTGTTCTACGACAGCAGAGTAGTTTTGCACAGAGACCACATAGCCAACAAAGACCAAAACATTTCCTATCCAGCCCTTTACAGAAAAAATTACCAACTCCTTCTGTAGAGCTGGAAAAGGTTTTGCTTTGGGACCAGTTTTAGCTGCAGCACTAGGAAGCTTCTCAGTAAAGCCTGGGACTTTTGTTTCGCCCCTGGCCCAAGCTGTGGGAACGTGGCGCCATCTTGGCCCCCTTTCCTGTTTTCTGAGGATGTGTGGGGGAGTGAGCAATGCCTGCCTTCTTGGCCCCTGCCTTTCGAGGTGCATTCTGGTGCTGGAAGAGAGCTGTTTCTGTAAGGAGAGGACATCGGAGTGTTAGCGAGAGGAGCACCAGTCATGTGTTCTGAGTTTCAGGACTTTCTGTTGCCCAGCAAGTCCTGTCTCCTCTTTGGGCCTCAGTTTCTGTATTTCTTAGTGAAGGGCACTGATGGAGAAAATCTACATGGTGCTGGACTTCTCTGAGCCCCATGTCCACCTGGGCTGCTTTGGGTGTGCAGTCCCCCTCAGCCCCCAAGAGTCCCTGCCTCCTGTCTCCATAGAAGCTCTGTATACAGTCTGTGCCTTGGCTGTCATATGTGATGACTGTTCCCTTTCCCCAACGCTCCCTCCCCCCTGTCTTCACACAGGCTTTGTGCATGGTCTACACCTTGGCTGTCATATGTGATGACTGTCCCCTTACCCCCCACACTCCCTCCTCCTGTCTTCACACAGGCTCTGTGCATGGTCTGTGCCTGTCTGTGCCTTGGCTGTCATATATGATGACTGTCCCCTCACCCCCCACACCCCCTCCTCCTGTCTTCACACAGGCTCTGTGCATGGTCTACACCTTGGCTGTCATATATGATGGCTGTCCTCTCACCCCCCACA